GAAAATCACTTTCCCATAGCCTAACCAACATTAGAAAGCAACCTTCAGGACAAAATAATCTTGTTTTAATTTACATTTTTCTGATTACTAGTGAAGGAATGCACCATTTCCCACATTACAGCCTGTTTATATTTCTCCTGTGAATTGTTTGCTTGTGTCCTTTGCCCATTTCTGTAAGTGGGTTGTCTGTCTTCCTCTTATTAATTTATAAGAGATCTTTATAAAGCTGGCTGTATAATTCTTTGCTATGTATGTTACTAAGTTTTTCTCCTAGTCTCATATTTATCTTTTTTAGTTTACTTACGGTTTTTTGCATTATATATAAATCGTGTGCATGTGTTTTAATTTACAGCCATATCTGTCATTTTCTTTTATAGCTTCTAGGTTGAGTGTCTTAGAACATTCTACTCTTCCCCAAGGTTATAAAAAATATTCTTTATTTTCTTCTAACTTTTTTTGTAGTTTTGTGTTTTAGTTTGAGCTCTCTAATCCATCTGGCATTTATTTTTGTGTATGATGTGAGAGAATATTCTAAGTGTTATTCCAGACAATTTTTCCACATCATTTATTGAATAACTCATCCTTTCCCTAGCTCCTCTGATTGGCCCGGCTTGTATCACATGCCCAACCCTGTTGCGAAATTGGGGTCAGTCCAGCTCCAACCACAGGGAATGATTTCCCCCTGAAATTTTATTACCAGATGTAGGGAGAAGGAGCACTTGAAAGCGGGGAAGTCTAGTACAAATGTGGCTTTGCTGTCTGTTAAACCAAGTTCCCCCACACACACAGTAATTCTTTTTCAAAAATATCTTGGCTATTTTGTATACGTTTTCCCTGTGTGAACTTTAGAATTGACCGTCAAGTTCAGTAAAAAGTGTCATTGGGTTTTTGATTGGGATTGTGTTGGATTTATAGATTCACTTAGGGAGACTTGACATCTTTACAATATTAAATTGCCTCATCCAAGTAAAGGGTATGTCTTGCCACTTGTTTAGGGCTTCTTTTTATGTCCTTAAGTAAAGTTTTATCATGTTCTTTATATAGGTCTTGCACATTTCCTCTTAGATTTATTCTTACTTGTTATAAGGTTTTTGTTGTTCTTGTGAATGAGACTTTTTTCTCCCAATTACATTCTCTAACTGATGATTGGTGGTATAAATATAAACTAGGAGTTTTAAAAATCATTTTACAATAGGCCATCTAACTGTACTTTTATATTACTTCATTGTTTTTATGCCAGATAACCTAAAATTTTTAGTAAGTGTATCTTCAAACAGTAATCCTCTTTTCCAATATTTGTACCTTTTATTTTACTTTTTAATTATAGTGTTAGTTAGACCTCTAGTGTGATGTTGAATAGTAACAGCCATTTAGAACGTTGCTATAGGTTTATAGTATATACCTTTTTTCAGTTTAATGAAATTGCCACATATTCTATCTTAAATGTTGAATTTTATCAGTACTTTTTTTGATATATTTTGGGAGGAATGATCATTTTTTTCTCTCCTTTAATCTGTTAATGCAGGATTTACATCAGTAGATTTACTGAAATTCAACCGTTTTGGAGATAAACTCTGGTTATTGTCCATCATTCTTTTAACACATGGCTAGATTCAATTTGCTGATGTTATTTTTAGGATTTTTAAGCCTATGTTCCTAAATGGTATTAGCCTACATGTTCTTTTTTGTGCTCTATTTGTAAACTCTTGGTGTCATAGTTACGGTAGCATCATGGTATGAATTAGAGAGCTTTCATCTTTTTCTGTGCTCTGAAATGGCTTATGTAATACAGGGATTATTTGATTCTTTAAAGCTGTAGAAAAATCCTGTAAAACTATGTGGACCTGGTACCTTAGTAAGTGGAAATATTTTCCTTTTTTACTTTAATTTTTATCAGAATAATATGTATACAGTGTAAGTAGTCAAATAGTACTTAAAATATTATAAAGAAAAATAGCAACCTTCTGTCTTACTCTTTCTCAAGAAAAAGAAGAAAAAGATATTTTAGGAACAATGGAGAAATTTTAAATGGTATTTGAATTAATGTTAATTTTTTAGGCATAATAATGATATTATGGTATCGAGATACAGGAAAATGTCCTTATTCTTAGCAGAGGCCTGCTGAAATATTTAGAGGTGAACTTCCATGATGACTATACTTATTTTCAAATGGTTCAGGAAAAAAGTTGTATATGTAAACGTGTGCAAGTTATTAAGCTGTTGTTTCTCAGCTCCAATCTTCTGTCCTCTCTGCTGGGGCTGGGACTGTCTGCTTTGCCAGTTAACCTTATGAGAGGTTTTACCTCTCTAGAGCTCTGGAGAAAAGACACAGCTGGAAGAAGAAGGAATTTGGTTCTTTCTATCTGCTTCCTAATTAGAATCCACATGCCAGAGAATGAAGTTGGACCTTTACCTTATACTGTATACAAAAACTTAACTCAAAATAACTCAAAGAGCTAAACTTAAGAGCTAAAACTATAAAACTCTTAAAACATAAGCCAAAAGCTTATGACATTGGATTTCGCCTCCGTTTCTTGGATATGACACCAAAGGCACAGGCACAAAAGGAAAAAAATAGGCAAATCAGACTTCATAAAAAGTAAAACATTTTGTACATCAAATGACAAAAGAGTAAATAGGCAACACACAGAATGAGTCAAAATATTTGCAAATCATGTATCTGCTAAGAGATTAATATCCAGACTTCATAAACAACTCCTAAGACTCAACAACAACAACAAAACCCAGTTTAAAAATGGGCAAAGAACTTGCATAGACATTTCTCCAAAGAAGATAAGCACATAAAATGAGCACATGAAAAGACACTCTTAACATCTCTAATCATTAGGGAAATGCAAATAAAACTACAATAAGATAACTTATTATCTTCATATTCATTAGCATGGCTATTGTTAAAAAAAAATAGTTAGGTTTTCGTGTGGATGTGGAGCAGTTGGAGCCCTTGTCCACTGTTGGTGGGAATGTAAAATGGCATAGCCACTATGGCAAACAGTACAGCAGTTCCTCAGAAAATTAATAGAATTACTATATAATCCAGCAACCGTACTGCTGGGTTTATACCCAAAAAATTTGAAAATGGGACTTCAACGGGTATTTGCACACCAACGTTCAGAGCAATATTATTCACAATAGCCAAAAGAGAAAACACCCCAAATGTCCATTGACAGGTGAATGGATAAACTGGTATATACATACAATGGAATGTCATTCAGCTATGAAAAAGAATAAATTCTGGTACATGTTACAACATGAATGAACCTTGGAAACATTATGCTAAGTGAAATAAGCCAGACTTAAGGACAAATATTGTATGATTCCACTTATATGAAGTAGCTAGAAGAGACAAATTCATGGAAACAGAAAGTAAAATAGAGATCACCAGGGGCTGGGGAGAGGGAGGAATGGAAGATTATCAGTTGATGAGTACAGAGTTCTAGTTTGGGATGGTGAAAAAGTTCTGGAATTGTGACGATACCTAATACCACAGAACTATATGCTTAAAAATGGTTAAAATGACATTTTAAATATTCTACCACAATAAAAAAATTAATTGGAAAATTGTTCCACCTCACTTTCTCAAATTTTTTATCGTAACATTCCAGAAGAAAATTTGAAATATTAAAAAAAGAAAGATAGAACATCCGTCTGCTTGTCAAAAGTTTAAATTAATTGCTGAGTTAAACTTCGTGCCAGAAGGAATTATGAATTATTGCAGCTTAGTTCTTAATTGCACTGAAGAACAATTACAAAAACACTGAGTTTATCATCATTTTGGATTAAGATTAAAGAATATCCATTGTTAGGCAAGAAGAGTTTTGCTATTATTACTGTTCACCATAGCCTTTTTGTTTGAATAGCATTTTTAGTTTTAACCTAATTTAAAACAACGCAAAAACAAACAGCAAAGGACAGGCTCTGTGGTGCACCAGATATACATGGGCTATTGTCCTCATATTTTCTGGACTGGGATAAATTTAGAACAAGCAAGCACACCTTCTGAATTAAAAAAATCTTTCCTAATTTCAATTTTTTGTTATTTTGTTTTGAGATTTTTTTTCTATATTGCATTTAAATATCAATAAAATCATATTTGATATTAACTTATACAGAGGAAAGATAAATAATGTTTTCTGAAATTTCCATATATACAGACACAGATACATCATACTGAATCACAATGTAAAAGATATTTCTAATTGTAGATCTCTGTAAATAAAAATTTGAAAAACACTTTTCTAAACACACTGCAGTTTTACTTTTGATTTCCCCTTTGACCCAAGAGTTGCTTAAGAGAATTTTTAGTTTCCCTGCTATTCATATTTTGCTTCATTGCATTATAGCCACAAAGAGTGTAGTCTAGATTGTTCTATACTATTTCTCCTTATTGGAAAAAGAGTCTATTGCCAGTATGTGTAGATGTTTGTGTATTTATATATTAGAGCACTTGTATACTTATTTTTAAAAACTTTTCAGGTTGAAGTAGTTTCAGATTCACTTGCAAAAATAGTATAAAGAATTACTGTGTAATACCCTTGTTTCAGATTCCCCAAATGTTAACATTTCACTGTCTCCCTCTTCCTCTTCCTCCTCTCTCTGCCCACCTCCCTCCCTCTGTCAGCCATCCACTCAGGTATTTTCAACAAAGTTTAGGTGGACAGTATGCCTTGGTGGAGACACTCCATGTATTGTGTCATTCCCCTCACCAAGCTGCTGCATGATGCATTATCCAAGGAATGGTTTATTTATAAATAATTTAAAAATTAGCATTCTGTCCTCTAAATAGAAATTCCAGTCCCCGTGTCTCTGAGACCACAAGATTTCCCACCCACTGCCCCCATCACATTACACAACACATCCAACCTCGCGTGTCCCAGTGTTTTGTAGGCACTCATTTCCTGTTTCAGGTGCATTGATTAGGAGCTTTCCTTGAAATAACAAGTTTGTGCTGTTTTGTTTTGTTCTTTTCTTTCTTCATGAAGACCTGAGGATGAGATATTTTTAAAAAGGCTTTCTGGAGATTACCTTGTAGGAAAGGACCCTGACGCTCCCCTTTTCTACAGAGAAGAAGGAAACAAAAAATTTCAGAAGAAGGATTATCTGGAAGCCACAGTGCTGTACTCTAAGGTAAGACACCTCCAGCTCAGCAAGAGGGGCTATCTCAACAATTTAGCAATGCACATTTCTTCAAAGGACAGCCATTATTGCTGACTCGTGTAGTCATTGGTAGCTTTGTCTGTTCATTTTGGATTGGGTTTGAAAAAGAAAACTGGCAGCGCTCTGCTGTAGATCATATTCTGAAACAAAGGATTGTTTGTATTATACGTCCTGGATTCCGTCCAGTATATTCCCATACTCCTTCAAACCTGGTGCAGCAGTAGACTTATTGGACGCCTCGGCCTTCCTCACTCACCCACGTCTATCAGCTCTCACTGAATTATATGCCATTTTTGTCTGAATAACTAATGAGGCTATTAGTGTGATAGTCCCAATGCAGAGAACAGCTGGATTTGGGGCTTTGCCACAGCGATAGCTTACAGCCAGTATGACTTAGATTAAATTGGGAAGGAAATAAGCTCAACTGCTACAGCCCTATTGAACTGCACTTTGAAGGCTGTCAACAAATATTTAAAATTATTACACTAACCATCAATGATCTAGATTTTGAGGAGGAATAGTGGCTTTTAACAATCTCTTGCTCTTGCTGGCCTGCTTCCATAGTTGGAATTGGAACAAGATTCCTGAGGGACTTTCTTCGAGAAATGTGCATTTAAAGCAAAAATATATCAACCCCTTGCACCACGTCTGTGACCTTATGTGTTAAAAGAATGAGTGTGAATTTAAAGAGTGTTGCCCCACCCTGCATCTTTAATAGACCTGTGCTTGAAGTTTGAAATCAGTTTTCCAAAAACTGTCTGATCTGTAGCAGCAGCTTCTATAAGTTATAAATGTCCTGCTTTGTAATGTTGTAACAAAGTATTTAGCTGAATAACGTAAGCATTCATGATTGCTGAAGAATTAAAATCTATTAGATGTAATGATCACTGATAAATGGCTTAATAGTTCTTTTTCAGAGCTAATCTCTTCAACTTTATGTGTGTGTGTTATAAATGTGATCACAGGGGAAGTTGTTCAAGGCAAATAAGTAAAATAAAAAGTGAATTCAGAGGAAAAATTAAGGTTTTTCTCTGAATGTGGAGGGAGACGAGCCCTCCTATTTCATGAAGCTACTATATTGGTGACTGTGTTACTTTGTAATTTTCTATATAGCTGCTATTTTCTTTCTTTTTTAAAATAAAATTTGTTGTTTTTGTCTGATTGTAAATGTAATATATGTTTACTTGGAAAATATAGAGAAGCATAAACAAGTAAAAAAAAATTCCGTAACCAATGGTAAGCACTATTAATATTTTTCTTTTACAAAATTGTGATAATGCTGTACTTACTGTTTTGTAACCTGCCTTTTTCCCTCAACAATTTATTGTGACCATTTTCTCATGTTGTTAAATTTTCCACTAAAACATGATTTTTTACAGCTGGCTTAGTGTTCCATTACAGAGAACTTTATTTGATTTAACATCTCCTAATGCTGGCAGATTGTTTGGTATCATAAAGCTGCAAGGAGTGCCTTTCTATGTAAATGTTTGTATACACCTGACAATTTCCTTAGGATAAATTCCTAGAAGGGCAATTGCTGAGTCAATTGAATGTTTTGTTTTTTTTAAAGGCCTTTGGTACTTGATGCTGAATCATTCTCCAGGGAAAAACTAGTTGTATGCCTTCTAGCAGAGTATGTTCATTTCTCTATATCCTAAGCCATCCTGGTTATTACGGTTATTATTGTCATCATCATCATCATTATTTCAGCTATTTATTTTTGAATAGGAAATGTCTTTCTGTAGTTCAAATTTAAAAGATGTAAGAGTATACAGTACAGTCTCCTTCCTCTGTCCCTCAGCCACCTGGTTTCCCATCCCCAGAAGCTAGCACTTTATTAAAGATATCTCTCCAGAGGTGCTTCAGCATATATAAACAAGTACAAATAACCTCTCACTCCTGCACATGCATGCTGTTTTTACATAAATAATGTCCTCTACACACTGTTCAGCACTGCATTTTTCCCAGTTAACATCTTAAGATCATTCTTAACGTCAGTACGTAGATGGCTTCCTCATTCTTTGTTTACGGGTACATGGATATCCATTTTATGGATATAATAGTAATTAATTAGTGCCCTCTGGATCAACATATAAGTTTCCTGTTTTTGCTGTTTCAGACAATTCTGTGATGAGAAACCTTGCGTATATGTTTTGCACATACCTATAGGATAAAAGATTATATCTGTAGGATAAATTCCTAGAAAAGGAATTGCTGGGACAGTGGAGCTATAGATGTATGTATCAAAAGATGTGTATACTGCTACATTGCCTCCATAATCATGAGACCAATTTACACTCCCACCAACAGACAGGTGTGAGAATGCCCGTTATCCCACTCCTGTGCCAACTCAGCATGCCATCAATTTTATTTTCCTTTGCTAATCTGATGGGTTAAAAATGACGTCTCAGTAGAGTTTTAACTTTCATCTTGCTGATTATGAATGAGGTTGGGCATTTTTTCATCTGTTTAAGAGCCATTTATATTTCCCATTAGAATTTTTCATATCATTTGCTTATTTTTCTACTGAATTATTGGTTGTCATCTTATTGATCAGTAGGAACTGTTCATAAAGTAAAGAAATGAGCCCTTTGCCTGTAGTAGGAGTTGCACATATTTTTTCCAGTTCAATGTTTGTCTTTTGATATTGCTTTTACTGGTTTTTGCTGCAATGAAATTTTTTTATTTTTAGGCGGTCAAATTTATTAACCTTTTATGACTTCTGGGTTTTGTGTCATAATTAGAAAGGTATTTCTCACTCCAGCATCGTATAGTTTCTTCTAGTGCTCTTATAGTTTCATTTTTTATATTAAGATTTTGATCCGTTTGGAATTTATCCTAATGAAAGGTTTATCATATATGAACAACCAGCTTTATTTTTATTCAGTGGCTACTTGTCCCAATACTTTTATTGACATATCCCTATCTTTTCTCCAGTGATTTGAGATGCCATCTTTCTGATTATTATTAATTCTTGCCAATTTGGTGGTAGAAAAAGTAGCCCTTTTATGGTTTCATTTTCATGGATTTGACTACCTGTGAATTAAGTATGTTTTCCCCCATATCATTAGTGTTTCTTCTTTTGTGAATTTCTGTTTGTTCCACTCACACTTTATTATGTGCAGGGTTATGCGCCTCCGTTTTCATTTACCTTTGTATTGTTTGTGGCTGAAGCTGTGTCTGAAGCTGCTGTCTTCAAAGTGCTTTGCATATTTATTTCCTCACTTGATCTTCACAGCCCTGCTCTAATGCCCTTAAAAATGAAGCCCAAAGAGATCCAGTAACTTCCCCGATTTCATACAGTCTTCAGTGGCAGAACCCCTACTACCTGAAAAAAGAAATACTCTGAAGATGCTAGTTTCTGTGAATACCTTTAACCAGTTCATTGTTCTGCAGGGAGTGTCACATTCAAGGCCCCACACTGAGGACATTTCACTGTGTTACGCCAATCGCTCTGCAGCCCTCTTCCACCTGGGTCAGTATGAAGTGAGTATCCGGATGCCTGGTGTGATTAGAGAGGATCTGCAGGGGGTTCCCTGGAGGACTAGTCCTTCATCCCTGCTTCTCCCTTAGAACACTGAGATTGGGCCATGCTGCAGCTTGTTGAATTGAAAGCAGATCGATATCCTCCCAAACTTGTTCTTTCTCCTGATTCATGTCAGCTGTCACAGGTGATGCTGTAGGGGTAGTGCTGGTCGGCAAGAAAGAGTCAGGCACATTCCGCAGGGCCATGGACTGTGCCCTGCGGGTCAGCTCAGTGTCAAGATCAGCTGTGAGAAATGTTACTAGTTACTAAACCCTCCCAAGTGTTTGCAAAGTATTTACTTGTTTTTTTTTTAAATAAGTAGATGAGCATGTTCAAGAGTATCCCTGCAATAATACAGCTCCCCCTCAATATGCATTTTGAATGGGAAAGTAAAAGTTGCACTGAAATACCTACTAGGGGGGCTTTAGATGAATGTCGTTCTCCTCATCCCCCAATTGAAGTCTAAGGACAAACTCTAAAATGCCATTTTGGTACATCCATTTTGGAATTCTACAAAAATTTAAACTATACCCTGGAGTTAAGGACGATTTGAGTAATCACCAGTTCACACTTACGCCCTTTGGACAAAAAGGGAAGAGCAAGACTCTAAGCCCTAAGAGAGAGAGGCCTGGGCGATGGCCCAGGGGACAGCGATGGGAAGACTTTGTGGATCATTTAGCCCTTTGTAGCTTCCCTATGCTGGTTATACTTCTCCTTCCCTTCTTGTAATAATGATTCCTTTATATTGAGCACATGCTGTCTTCCAGGCACTCTTTTTAACGCTTTAGATCTATTACCTTACTTTCATTTTGTTTCAACCCTGTGATGTATTATTATCCCTGTTTTTCAGATGAGAAAACTAAGACACTGAGAAATTAATTCACTTGCATAAGGTTATATAGCTAGTAAGAGACAGAGTCTGTCCTGGAATGCAGGTCTTTTTGGCCTCAAAAACTGCCCTCTTAATCACCATACTATGATTCTTCTATCTGTAAGACTTTTGTCCTTAGAATCAGAAATACTTAATGTCAGTTAAACATAGTATCTTCAGCATGTGTTTCTGTTCATTCATAAAAAGATCACAGTAGAATATGACTTAAAGAAATAAGCACATGATTGTTTTTAATAATCCTTAACTTACCTGTAGGTTTTTGTTAAGACTTTCAAGTGGATGTTGAAGAGTAGGGACCAAGGGTCATTTGGGGATTTCCTTTCTGCTTTCAGACATGCCTTAAAGACATCAACAGAGCACAGATGCATGGATATCCAGAAAGATTGCAACCCAAGATGCTGTTGCGTAAGGCAGAGTGTCTGGTGACCCTGGGGAGACTACCCGAGGCAAGCCAGGCCATCAGTGATCTTGAAAGTAACTTTGCTGCCAAACCGACCTTAGCAGCTTCCCAATTGCAGATTCTGCAGAGAACCCTCTGTCGTCTGAAAATCAAGGTACAAGAAAAGGAGAATCTCACAGAAGCCTTCCCAGCAGCTCTAACCAAAGCCTTTGAGGATGTGGACCTAAGACAAGAGAATAAACAGATTTCCAGTGCATCATCATCTGTCAGCTTATGCACAGACCCTTTAAAAGGCCGCTATCTGGTGGCCACAAAAGATATCCTCCCAGGAGAGCTTCTAGTGAAAGAGCATGCTTTTGTAAGTGTCCTTAACCCAGGAGAAATGCCACCACGACATCGTGGCCTAGAGAGCAAGTGGGACACCAGAGTTACCACTGGGGACCTCTACTGTCACCGATGTTTGAAGCACACCTTGGCCACAGTTCCCTGTGACGGATGCAGCTATGCCAAGTACTGCAGCCAGGAGTGCATGCAGCAGGCCTGGGACCTCTACCATAGTGTAGAGTGTTCTCAGGGGGCGCTGCTTCTAGCACTGGGTGTTTTTTGCCACATTGCCCTGAGATCAACTCTTTTAGCTAGATTTGAGGATGCTGGCAAAGTCATGAAGCTTTGTGGTGAGAGTAGTAACAGGAACATCTGTTTACCTGAAAGCAAGAACCTGGTACAAATGCTCAGTTATGACCTGGGAGGGGAGAGTGAGAAAAAGGGTAAAACAGTTGAGGCCCCAATTCCTGGATGTGATATTAATGGGAAGTATAAAAATAATTATAATGCTGTCTTCCATCTTTTACCCCATACTGAAAACCACAGTCCAGAGCACAAATTTCTCTGCGCTCTAAGTGTTTCTGCGCTGTGCAGGCAGCTCGAAGCAGCCAGTTTACACGTCTTCACAGCAGCTCCGAAAACATGTAGGCTGAAAGCAGTAGAGGCTCCTGCATTGTGTCCAGAGTTGAGTGTTTGGGGAGTGGCCATGCTGAGACACATGCTACAGCTGCAGTGTAATGCTCAGGCAATAACCACCATACAGCAGACAGGTAAGAGGGAAACTCTTTTGTGCCTTACAGCATTGTCCTTGATGTAGCTAATGTTTGGGGAGAAAGAACTGTAAAGGAGAACAGCAGCATTCAAACAGATCAGTGGCCTAATGGGAAAATACGGCTATTTTTTCATGGTTATGCCATTGCGAAGCTATGTGACCTTAAATTATTGAGCCCACTGTGCCTCAGTTTTCTCATCTGTAAAATGGGTAGTTTAATCTTACCTGACTTTACAAAGTTGTGAAGGTGATGTATTTGTTTGTAAAAGTACTTTAAATCTGAAAGTCCTATTATCCTATTAATTGTTCATTGTGAAGGAAAATGGAAACAATGGATGTACAAGACTGCAGAAGGAGCAGAGTTTGTGGTTAAAGTATCAAAATCTTAACTCACCCCGTGACACAACTACTCTGTTTCTTCTCTTTCCAATTGACAGATTTTTTTTTCCATTCTTCTGTTTTAAATTTCCAAGAGAGGAATCGCCCCGCACAGCTTTTCACATAATGCTCCCATCAGCTGTTGACCAGCCTGTATTTGGGCTGGCCCCTGGTCAGGTGGCCAGCAAGCAGGGGGCAACCTCTAGACACAGCCCAGCCCAGCCCTGCTTTCCTGAACCAGACCCTATAGATGAGGCTCTTAAGGTAGATGGGGAGGTTCCACATGCCCAGCATGATGAGTGACGTCTCTAATACAACTGTACTGACAGCAGAGATACTATTATTACAAAAGAAGTGGTGTTTCCAGTATTTCTATCGTATGATCTCCCTTTTAGCAGATAATATGTCTCAGTCCAATCAGTTCATTATACTCCTCTCAATTTCCTAATTAATTCTATTGAGGGGAGGAATTAGGTCATATCTAACCCTGGGACTTATAGACAGATTAATATTAAATGTGGCTTCACTAAACTATACATGCTTAGCTCTTTTGCTCTTCTGATGTTAGGTAACCTAGAATTTTGTCAACCTTTTGCCTGTATATTTTTCTCTTTAATTTTAATTCAGCTGCCAAGTTATTTAGTGTGTAAGTATTTCATTATAGGTGTTTTGGGGCAAGACTCTCTTCCCCATCCTGAAGCACATGGAACATCCAAAAATAGCACTGGCCTCATCCCATGAGACAGCAGAAACACACTGCAAGCTAGTCTCCATTTCCTTGTCTGCCTTCTTTTGCTGCTTTGAGTCATTGCTACCTTCTAAAATATATCTGTTGAGTGTTTTTCCAGAACTGTTTTCCCTTGGGTACATTCACTGGCATTTTTAAAAGTACTGTTTTCATTTTGTTCTGTTTTTCTAAATATAAAAAATAGTACACAGAGCTTCCAGATTATATGGCAGAAAGTTACCAACTCTTGATTCTATTGTGTCTTGCCTCTAAAATACTTGGTAGAGCATACAAAAAAGATACAAATGTCAGCAGCTCTGAAAACTGGGAACTACTATCTGGGTAAACACTAGTAGCTACCACTAAGCCAGACTGAATCCCTGAGGCAAGACGGCACAGCCACAGGGACAGACGGAAGTGTTTTCCATCCACTTTCCTCTCCTGGCCTCCCCCCGTACAGTCAAAGAATCTTAGCCTAAATGCTTGTGCTCGTTGTACATGACATTGCATTACATTCAGTTTTTCATATGCACAGCGAGTTTTGGGTAAAATCTTTCACAAGTTGTTAAGATGGAATTTTTAGATAGTAAGAGCATGTGCAGCTAGGAATACCTGTATTTTCCGTGGCTAAAAAGGACTAGAGAAACAGATACGTAGCATAATACTGGCTACCTAGAATGATGGAAAGAGGATTGGAGACTCTGTCTTCATCTATGGGGTTCTAATATTTTATGCATAATTTATTCTGAACTTATATGATGTTTTAAATATATACACATAGAAAAAATAAACTATAAGCAAAAATACCAAGATCTTAATTAACAATTATGAATTCTGAAAGTGGAAATATGGATGATTACTACTTTCTTCCTTGAACTTTTCTGTATTTTTTAAAATTAAGAACACTTATTCACATAGTGGTAACATTATTCTAGAAAATTTAAAATGGGTTGTATACCTTTCCCTTCATTCTAGAGAGGTTTTTTGAAAAACAGCAAAAGATAGAAAGATGATAGAAAGTGAGTCTCCAATGGTAAATAGAAACAGGCTACCAAACTCTATTAAATGTATCTTTCAGAATGGGTCAAAGAGATTAAAATCCAACTATATTCTGTTTATAAAGGTGACACAACACTAAGTGTTTGGGAAAGACATGTCAGGAATCACAAGCAAATCAGGATATTAATACTAAAATGAAAAGTAAAACTCAAGGTATCTTGTAAAACAAAGAAGGCATTTTATTTTTGTAAAGGAGACTCTTCTGAAATATATCATCAACCTTAGCTCTTAGAAACATAGAGTGTGTCTATAAAACAAAAGCGGTTAAGTGTACAAGGAGAAACTGGCAAAAACTCCATAGTTGTGAGAAACTAATATACCACACTGATCAAATATATTAAAGATAAGGATCTAGAAACCAAGATAACATAATTAAATACAGGATTCAGAGATATAGCCATCCAAGCTTATGTTCTGTAGACCAGGGTTTGTGGCCAACTTTTTCTGCAAAGGGCCAGATAGTAAATATTTGGGGCTTTGCAGGCTATGTGGTCTCTTTTTGCAACTACTCAGCTGCCCTTGCAGCATGAAAGCAGCCATAGACAGTACACAAACAAATCAGCCTGGCTGGGCTCCGATAATACTTCATTGCAGACACTGAAAGTTGAACTTATTATAATTTTTCATGTTTCATGGGAATTATTCTGTACATATTTTTTCAACTACTTAAAAATGTAAAACACATTCTTAGACCACATATGCACACAAACAGGCAGCAGGCAGGATATGGCCCACAGGCTACAGTTTACAGACTCCTGATAGAGACAAAGATTTGGCAAATCTAAGGGAAAACACAAAATTGGAAACAATGAAGGTGATATAGCCAATAATATAAATGTACTTTAAAATTTATAGCAAATATTTAATTTGATTTTAGATTATTGAATTTGAAAATGCTAAGTAGACAACTTTTGTAGAAAAATATAAATTGCCTAAATTTTTCCAGAGGGCAGAAAATATTTCAGAATTCCAGTAATTGTGGAAGAAATTGAAAAAATTATCAAAATATTTCCATAAAAACAAGCCAGACCCACTCTTTTCCGTGTGAGTTCTTTAAAACTTTTAAGGAACATATTAGCCACATTTTTTAAAAATAAAGGAAAGGAAAAAGTATCTCTCTAGGAACAGATCATTTTTATACAATACAATGCCCTGTTGCAGGGCGTGGGGGAACATAGAACCCTTCCCCACACATTTTACAAAGCCAAGAATAAAAACTCCATGGACCAGTCTCACTTGTGAATATAAATGTAGAAACCCTGAAAAAAATTGTTGCTATGTCACATCCAGCAGCTTATTAAAGGAGCAATAATATATGACCAAGTAGGATTTCTTCCAGAAATGCAGGGGTATTTTAATCTGAAGGAGTATAAAAGGTTTAGATAAATGCAGAGACATGCCATATTCTTAGAAGGAAAGACTGAAAACTGTTTTTCAGTTTCCCCCCATTAACCTAATCTGTCGAATGCAATTTCAAACAAAATCACAATTGGCTTTTTCTTAAAATTTGACAGTGATTCTAAAATTCGTCTTGAATAAGTGGGTAAGAATAGCCTTTTTGTTTTTAAAGAGTACTGAAGGGGCTTGGTACTATCAGATTTCATATCCGCATTAAGTAACAATAATTAAAAACAGTGTGATACTTACATGATAGCCCCCCAAATGTATTAGATTCTTTCTTCAAATCATTAAAAAGTTAAATATTGAAAAATTAAATCATAAAATATCTAGAAAAAGATAAGTGAACATTTACATAGTCTTAGGGTGAAAGAAGCTGTCTAAAGTACATAACACTGAATTTGGTAATTAAAAGATAGCTAGATTTAGTGGGGGATGGTATAGCTCAAGTGGTAGAGTGCATGCTTAGCATGCATGAGGTCCTGGGTTCAATCCCCAGTACCTACTCTAAAAACAAATAAATAAACCTAATTACCACCCCACACACACACACAAAGATAGCTAGATTTAACTTAAATACCAAGTTTCAAAAACACTACAATCAGTTAAGTAAAGAAGATAGAGAATGGAAGTGAAAGAGATCCTGGAAGGAATGAAAACACTGGACTGGAAGGCAGCAGACCTGAGTTCCCATTCCACTTCCACTCTAACCACTAACACTCAGTATAAAGTTGGTCAGGTTACTGAACCTCTATGTGGTTCAGTGTCCTCACATAGATAATGAGAGAATTGGATGAAGGCCTCAAGGGAAGATTATTTGCAAAAATGATCACGACAGTTTCTCCCACCTGTATGTTTGCCCCTTTTGCTTTTTCTACCATCAAGTGGTGGAATGTTTCCCCTGCCCTTGAATGTGGGCCAGCCCCAAACTTTGCTTTGATGGATGGGATGCAATAGAAGTGACATCATGTGACTAAGCTCTTAAGCTTTGAGTCTAAGCTTAAGAGACTTTGCAACTTCCACTGTCACCTTAAAATGACAGTGTGGCCTGTGAACATGCCTGGGCTAGCTCCCTCAGGACAGAAGACCACGTGCCAGATGATTGCAATCATATGAGTAATCCCAGACAAAACCAGCAGCAGCGATGTTCAGCTGAGCTCAGATTTGCTGACATGCAACAATGTAAGCAAATGAAATAGTTGTTTTAATACTTCCCACCCCAAAAAAACCATAAACCAAAATTGAAACGTGAGTGACAAAATGAGACATTTCAAGCAACTATACAACACTTAAAATCAACTTTTAGAATTACGTATAAGTGATGAAAATGGTCTAAAACTGGATTGTGGCAGTGGTTGCACAGCTTATGTAAATTTCCTAAAAACTCGTTGAACTAGTTCACTTAAAATAGGTGAACTTTATGGTATATAAATTATATCACAATAAAGCTGTTAAAATATATACATAAGCAAACACTTTATCAAAATAGTAAGTAATAAAAATTGTCATGTCTAACCTCTCTCTAGTAATTAAGACAAGGTATCATTTTATCCCTTTCAGATTGGCAGAGTTGCTTTGTTGGTTTGGTGTTTTTTTTTTTTTTAAGTTAAAAGAAATAACTCACAAATCACTGTATGCACCATGTTGCCAATTGTGTTAAGGATTCCATATGTAAAGGCTAGAAAGAAGACTGCGGGAGAATGCACCAAAATCTTACGGCTGACTGATAGGATTATAACTGACTTATTTTCTCTGTAATTTTGTGTTTTTAAATTTTTTCTGACTACTGTGTATTTCTTTGGTAATTTTAATTAGTTTCTTTAAGTGGTAAAGATAATTCTGATGATATGAGCATTTTTTTTTACATGAACCTTTTTAGGGCACTTGATAAATGCAGCAAAATTGCCCTCCAGGAAAGTTGTACCAGTTTCACGCCCACCAGCAGTGTTCACTTTCATTTTTGAATTCAATCTAATTTTGTTTCAGTCTGCTAATATTTCTAATCTTGTTTTATCCCTTTTTATTATTTCTTTGGGGTTCCAACACCTCCCAGTTTAGTGCTCTCATTGAATTTCATTAGCAGCTGTTTCATTAGTAGCACAGAAGAAGGATTAAAGTGTTAAGTTGGATAGAGTTTGACAAAAACCTATAAAAATGTATGTTATTATCTTTGCATAAATCCTATTTAATCAAAGTCCCTCAGCAACCTCTCTTTGGTACTTTTAAGGGACAGAACTGACCACTGATGATATTCTAGACCCTGGTATGTCTGGATCTACCTTGGTGGGAGTGGCATATTCGTTATGTGTCTGGATTCATGCGTACGAGGATTAATGAGGGTCTGCGCAGGTTCAGATCAATTTCACTGCCCTTTGCTTTCACTCTTCAGCAAGTGAGGAATCTGCCTTCACTGTGGGTCCTTGATTACTTGATATACACATAATTCTTGTTTTATAAAATATCTACCAGAATAGGAACATTCTGGAAGTACTGTAAATGAATCTTGTTTTCTTTACTTGAGTCTCATTTTAATGTACCAGGAATATTAGCAGGGTACACTTTTGGTAAAATAATCAAGTCTTTTTTGTTTCTTTGTTTGTTTTATGCACAAAATGTCACATATTAAATTTGGTTGATAAGGTACATAAACATTCTCACTTTCTACAATCTGCTGGCTGATGGCTAATGCAAAATATTGAATAATTTGTAAAATCAATACTTAATTTTTTAGAAATAATTAGAGAGAGATTCAACCCTGACATTAAATACTCACCCCACTCAGTTCCTGGTCTTACTTCTGTTAGAAGATAATCCATAAATAATTCACAAAGCTGACATTATTCACAGTATTGTGAAAATTTTTTCTGGGAAAATTTTAGCAGCTGTTCTAATATGGATTGTCAGTTGTCAGTAGTTGGGAACGCAAGTCAACTTTTAATTATGCAGAGGCTGGTTATTCAGACTACAAACTGTTCATGCCCTGTGCTGCTCCTTCCTGCTGCCCTCCCTCCCCACCTGTTAGCATTTTCACTGCTCATTAGCACATATACCAGAAGGTAGGCATTGGACGGGGTGGGGGAGACACTAAAATCATTAAGCATTTAGGAGAAGCTCTGATGAAAGATTTCAATACAATTTGTAGAATTGCTGACTAAAATTGAGTCATTTGGATTCCCTGCGAATTTTATTTACTTGTACTATTCCTGTCCACCACAGCAGCAGGTAACAGAGTTGTCTGCAGAGAGACAAAATTATTCCTATAGTTAATGTTTTCCTTTCCAGAGCATTTTCACGCAGTGGTTCGTATTTTCTTTCTTCATTTCATTTGTACCAAGACCACATTATTTCTTCGGTGATTGGTGTATTGAGATTCCTGGCATATACAGTGATGCCACAATGATCTGATGGTTTATCAGTTTTTCAGAAAATTGAAAGTTCCCTGCGAAATACCAGTATCTGTCATATTTCAACTAGGTTTGTTGGCAATACGATTTCCTCATGTTTACATCGAAGCGACTGAACACAATTTAAGCCTTTCTGCATGCTCAAGGTTATCTGTACCATGCTTCCTCCTGAGATATGTATGGCTATTACAAAAACCCGGGCAAGTACGCTGTCAGTCTGAGAACCTCTGGTTAAGTGAAACGTTACAGTTGTAGTAAAACTCGGGTAGTGCTAGTGTTTTCGTTTGCCCTAAGGCTGTTATTCTTGTATAAGTTTTCTGCCTCCTCCTCCAGTCTGTCACCATCTTTCTTGCCATTGTCAGAAAACCTGCCTCTTATCAGTTCTGTTTCTGGACTGTTGTGGGCTGAGAAACTAAATAACCACACCAGGTAGAACTGTGGCTAAAATAAGATCAAGTGGGCCTGCCAGAGAATACAGGGAATTCACCTATGAATGTAAGTGCGTGAGTCTTGGTGCAGAAATAGCCTCACTGCTCGAGGCCTTTTTCTTCCTTCCTTCGTAATTTTCAATCACGTGGATAAATTGCTGGTTTAATTGTGTTTCAAGGAAGAGATTGTTTGGGACATGAGACTGTCTTGAATAGAACTGGTCCAGAGAGCTTTTTCCATGAGAACTACTGCAGACTGATTTCCCATCAAGTTGGGACAAAGGGCAGAATGAAGAGGTTAACATAAGAAATACTGATTTTTAAAAATATATGAAGGTGGAGGATATAGCTCAGTGGTACAGTGTGTGCTTTGTATGCATAAGCTCCTGAGTTCAATCCCCAGTACCTCCATTAAATAAATAAATAAAATATATGATAAGCCTGTTTAGTTTAGGATAGTAATTACTTGCTCTATTAACTAACCAAAGACCAGTTAAACAAAAGCACTTAGACGAGAAAAGTCTTTGGGAAGTAACCTCAACAGGTACTCTGGTTTCCATGTCCTCATGAACATTATGAAACTGTCTATCTAGAAAGCTCCCTTCTGATAATTCCTTTTTTATTATTTTCTATAAATTCTAATCTTTGGGCTTTTTGTGGTATTGAGACACAGTGGTTAGGTTCCAAGGTTCTGGGGGAACTTTTCATGTGCTCATTCGCTTTGCTTCCTGGAGACCAGAGTTTGCTGTGAGTCATGTTCCATCTGATTTATATCGGATCCGGCTGTGGAGCTATGACTCAGCCTGGCTTCATTGCCCAGCTCATCTTCTGAGGAATGGAGGGCGAGGCCAGGACTAATATCCTGACACTTTTTTCCCATTTCCCTCTCTCACTTTCAGGATCTAAAGAGAAACTCATTACCGACAGCAGGCAAGTACGCCTTGCCACAGGCCTCTTCCCTGTCATCAGCCTCCTGAACCATTCCTGCAGCCCCAACACCAGCGTGTCCTTCATTAGCACCAGCGCCACCGTTCGGGCATCACAGCAGATCAGAAAAGGGCAGGAGATTCTCCACTGCTATGGTGAGCCACCCATCCTCACTCCTGTCCGCCCTTCTCCCCAGAAAAGGGCAGAGTGAATTAGCGTGAGCCAGCCACAGGGTAGGTGCCTTCACCTGCGCAGTGTTTGTTTCCTGGTGGAGGCAGTGCCTACTCAGGGGCAGGAAAAAAAAAAAACGCCTTCTTACTAAGCCTTCTTGTGTCTAAACTACCCTGTATCTCACTGCTTAATCCCCATAAATGTCCTATTCTGAAAATGGGCTAGGAACAACATCTTGGCTTCTTTTTCTTCCTGTCCCCACAAGTTGTAAGCCAGTTTCTACTTCCAGTTCCACAAATGTTTGAGTGACAGGTACCTGTCACATGATGAATATTTAGCCAGACCCTCCTCTAATCTGAAGTCTGTTAAGTAGCTCAGTGCTCTCTCACTTTAAATATTGGCCAAGCGTGGTCTCTCTACAGGGCCTCATGAAAGCAGGATGGGTGTTGCTGAGAGGCACCAGAAGCTGAAGTCTCAGTATTTCTTTGACTGCAACTGCTCGCCTTGTGAACGTGAGAAGCAGAGCTCCCCAAAGGGG